TTTTCTTCTCTTTTCTTTTCTTTTTCTGTTTTTTTTTTTTTTTTTATATAAAAGCTCGAGATCATACAGCTTCTCGCGAGCTGGCCTGGCTGCAGCGCTTTATACATATATACACATATATACCGCAGGAGCTCTCTCTGATGAAATTTGTGGCCTCGGCAAAGTCGGCTTTCCTTATGTAGCAGCTCACGGCAGGAGTGCTGCTAGCTGCTGCAGTTCGCGTTGTCTCAAGCGCAGGAGGGGGGGTATACATATATATACCAGGGCGGGGGTTATTTCTCCCCGAGCTAAGTAACAAATTGATATTTATTCTAGCCCGCCTAATGTATCTTAAGCTATATATATATATATATATGTGTGTGTGTATGTACTACTCACTACTACTACTACGCCGAAGAGAAAAGAGAAAAGCGAGCGAGAGACCCGCACACGAGCTAAGAACTTTTTTCAGAAAACGTCCAATTACTGCGTGCCTTAGCGAGACGCTGAAGTGCGGCGGCGCGCACGGAGCCAGAGTGAGCGAAGCTCTATATATGTGCCGCCGTGCAAAGGGCCATATAATATATATTTTACCTACGTGTATATAGCGCATACATACATAGTTGAAGAAACGGCGCTATAGCGCGCAGTCGGTGCTTAAGACGCGAATCGAAAACTTTTCACGACTGCGAAATTCAATAGAACAAGTTTCGGTCCCTGTGAGTGTGTGTATATACACGAGAGTTAGAAGAGAGAGAGAGGGAAGGAGTGGTATATGCGAAGGTACATAGGCAAGTACACTGTAAAACGTTTTTTACGCGCGTGCCTTACTGCGTACAGTACGCGCGAGCATTAAAACTTGGACGACGAGTCGCGTTTTATGTAGCCGTCGGTATAACTCTTGACGCAAACTTATATTATACGCGTATGTATAACACGCGTGTGCGTGCGAGTATATAAATACTATGGTGTGTGCGAAAGGTGACTGTATTACGCGACGCGCCAGTTTTACTTTGAAATACAGGTGCTCTGCGTTATACCCACAGTACAGAATCATTCGCTCGCTCGCTGCGTATTGTACACGCGGGTGAGGAAACGGCCGCGGGAATCTTACATTAACATACAGTTGCAAGCTCTCTTGTAGTACGCCGCGTACAAGATTTGCAGCGCACGAAGGAAAACGTCGTCGTCGAGGCGAGGCGGAGTTACTCGCCAACAAAAAACACACTCGTATACGCAGAGAGAGAGAGAGTAGCGGGTACTCTCTGCAGCAGCAACAGCGTGGCTTGTAGTACGCAGCGGGCAAAAACTTCGAGAAAAGCCCCTCAGGGTGCGCTTTGTCGAATGTATATATACACTATATATACGTACAACACCCCCGCGCGTAATCTATATAGCTCGAGAGAAAGAGAGAGAGAGAGAAGTGTATAATGTATAGGCTTTGTGTGCCCCGTGCACACATACACCGGGCGCAGAGAGAGAGTGAGTGAGAGGCTGCAGTACGTGTGTATCGAGTACGCGGCGTATCGGCCAGCTACCTATACAGCACGTATATTATAAATTTAGCACGGGCCGAAGAACTTTATAATCTTGGGAGTAAATGGACACGTTTTTCCCTAGAAAATATGTGATGATACGTCAGAGATGTTTAACTCGCGATATCGGTACAACGAATTGAATTGAGTTTTTAACCGATCGCTGCGTCGTTTTTCCGGTCCGGATAATCGTTTCGAGGATGTCATTTCCCGAAAAAGTTGATAATATATGTTAACTTAGAGGTGACGATCTTGAACCGAGCAAAGAAATGATAGTAATGAAAAAAATCCACCCCCGAGTTTATTATAATTTATATATTAGATATCGAAGTTGCTCGTGTGTACTGGCTCTAGGTGGTCGGGTAATTTATGTAGGCGTAGAAACATTACATGGGCTAGCTGCAGCAGCAGCAGTGCGCATACGATATAACGAGGTGGACCAAAAATTTTCACATGGCTCGCGCTTGCAACAATATAACGCAGTCGTCGTCGGTGCGCAAAACATGACGAGTCAAGGGGGACACTGTGCTCGAAAGAGGTAGTCTAGCTAGCTGTTCGGCAAAAAAAGGGAGAGAAAAAGAGCGAGAGAGAGAGAGAGAAACATAAATCGCTGCTGCCCACATGGGTAGATGGACACTCACGTACACGTACACGATTACACTGCAGGGCTTATAAATGAGATCGACAGCCGGTGCGGGACAAATCATTTGCCCGAGGGAGAGAGAGAGAAAGAGAGAGAGAGAGAGGGGGGGGGGTGGCAAGGGGGGTGTTTGCCGGATCAGCAAAACTCCGCACAGACGACCATCGCCCATCACTAGCAGGCATCAGAACGATGACGACGAGGCACAGCCGTGAGCAACATCATTTTGGCCGAAAGTTTAATTGATGACGCCCTGATCGCACGCGAGCTCAGCACCTTTATGCCTATATGCGCTATATAATATGAGAATAGTCAGTCATCGTGCTGCACACGCGCACGTATTATATGCCTGCCAGCACGAGATCTCACGATATTTTTTTCCCAGGACCCAAGAGCCAGTGGAGAAGGGAATGGATCAAAGTAGAGTATTGCATTATAGAGTATATATTAGGCTTATAGGCTTCAATGTCTCCATGGCGCAGGGTTTTATTAAATGAAAATTATCGATTTTAGGAAATGCACCATTCTTACCATTGGTTTAACATTGGTCAAGAAATGCAACAACCGATTAAAATTTTTCTGCTTCAAAATTCCAGTCCAGTAAGATATTGAAAGGCATTTTTAAAACTGTACTTAAATATGATTTCCGATACATCTTCAATCTTATTACTCGATTAACTAAATAAGAGGACTGTTAAAATTAAATTAAACCGCTTTTAATTAATGCTAAAACTTTACTTTTTCTCTTTCGGTTTCAGAAAATTCGATCATACGCCATCTGGCGGTAATTTATAATCAACTGTAAGGACCTCACAAAATAATTGAAAATACGTGAAATGTTTAGCACATTTAATGGAAATTGTAACAGTCTTTAGGTGAAGTAACATAAAAAAACCGCTACCAATGTATTGGCAAGTAGCTTCCTCACTTTTTTTTATCATGTAAAAGTAATTTGAAAATATTCATCTGTAACTTCACTAATTGCGTTTATACACACATTAATCTAACTCTGATTAATGTAAATTTAATTTGTTTTGAATTTTTAACATAAATTACAATTTAGACTGGATATTTTATTTAAATATCATAATTCATCACAGTTTGTATAAGAAAATGAAACATTAAAACTGTCGTAGGTCAATGAAAAAATTAGACTTAGACAAACTAGATCGAAATAGTACTTTACGATACTAATGGCATAAGTAACACTTTTTGGCACGACGTAGTTTAGGGCCCGAGCGCAGCGAGGGTCTTAATAGCTAGGCCGTAAAGTGTCCCCTAAGTCACGAGTATCATACAACATTTTATAGCAACTAGCGAATTACCTCGCTCGCTCACACTCGCTCGGTATAGTCAGGGTTTTGTAAGAATTTTGGAGAAAGCAAGAAATATAAAATAGGTTTCCACAAGGTATATACCAGGTATATAGAATGTATATACCTTGTATTTACAAGGCACGTACCAGATATATATATATATGATGTATATACGTTGTACAATATACATACCTTGTAAATACAAGGTATTTATCATTTATACATACATTGTTAATACAAGGTATTTATTATCAACCTGTCAACTAATAACCTTAAAGCGTCAGAAAACCCTAGTTTCTCGCAAGCAGAGTTAAAAAATATCGTTTGCAACTAGTCCGCGAGGAAGTTGACTCACCCAGGATTCTTTGCACCCTCGCTACGCTCGGGCGAAAACAACTCCTGGATGAGTCAACTGCCTCGCGCACTTGTTATAAAATATACTATTTTTCACTAATAATGAAAAAAAAATTTTAAATAAGACAAATCAAGTATAAAATTTAATAAATTTCGTATTAAGTTTGAGCTAACATAGTCTTCTTTAATAATAAACAATGTTTTGACATATCATAAATTTTGAACACGAAACAACACAGAACTAAGAAAAAAGAAAAAATCATAAAACCAAATGTCACTTTCAAAACGTAACTTTTGATACTTACGGTGAATCTTTACATTTTTTATCTTAAGAAGGCTCTACACACAATACAAAAGATCGTCCAACAAGATAAAACTTATATCAATCGATTTGTTAGATCTTCAAAATAAGATTCCAAAAATAAAACATGTGGTTGACTTTCGAGATAAACAAGTTTAAAAATGTCGATTTTAATACAGGCTCTTATGGGACGCGGTTTTTTATTGTTTATAACTAATTTAAAAGATCAACCATCTTAATAAAAAATATATTTTCTGAAACTAATGAGTAATTAAACAAATGATTTCGAATGGTGCGAGCGGTTGTCTGCCTAATGCGAGAAAGAGAAAGTTAGATGTCACCAGAAAGAGAGAGACGGATGCCTCGCTATACTATTGTTATGATTGGTGTAGAGCCTCCTTAAATCAAAGGTTAAAAGTTTTTTCTTAAAAAAAGTATTACTTTTATTAAAAAAAACCTGTTTGTATTAAAACAAATATTACTTTTATTCAAAAAAACGTGTTTGTTTTAAAACAAATATGACAAAACTAAAAAAAACTTGAAAAAAAATTTTTTTTATCAAAAATCCCTCATAACTTATTAAATACTCAACGCAGAACTAAAAATTTCGTTTTGGCTTCTTCCTCACATCAAAATGAGTGAAATGAGATATCTACAGTAACGATATGAACTACCGTCATCGAGATATCTCTGCGCACATCCCAACGCACGCACACATACACACACATACAGACTCGTGTCAGCAATTCGGTCTAGTTGAAGAATATATATTGTTGTATGTATTGTAATGAGCCGTGTCGCCACTAGGTGGCACGGAGTAAAAGTACGGTTCACGCAAGTAAGATTGTTAAGTCTGGGCGTTATATAGACCAGGGATGCGATCTCGTACAGACTTCTCGAGTCTGCGCAGTAGCGCCGACGCGTCATTGGCCGAGCGTGGTTTGAACGCATGGACGGTGCTGATCTACGCTGCGAACGATTTGGGTAATACACCGTTGCACGATGCTCTGAACCGGGACGGTACACTCGACGATCGACGGTTGGTCGAATTGTTGTTGAGAAGAGGCGCCGATCCGAACCCGGTTAACGAGGCAGGAAAGACACCGCTGCACATGATTTGCAAGAGAGCCTCGAGTCAAGACGACCTGTTGGCGATGTTTCCTCGGCAGGGGCAGCTCGATGTCGTGGACAAATTGGCCCGGACACCACTTCGATGGGCCGTGGAAAATCTCGTGCCTCGCGTGGTCGATATACTCTTGGATCACGGGGCCAGTCTGTTCAGCTTCGTTTTTCCAACTGCCAGTGACTTTGCCGAGAGATTGGACGTGCGAGCCTTCAGCAGCATATATACACTAATTTTAAACTGATAATGGCGTCTAGTCTGCTGGTCATCGCTGAAAATATTGAGCAAAGAGGATACGAGTTCAACCGAACCGAGGCCATGACGATCATGAGATTCTTCGCTCAGCACGATTTGTTCGAGAAGCCGTCGGCTCTTGAAATATGTTGGAGCGACGACGAAGAGTTCGCCAACTTGGCGATACGGTTTCAGATACGGCCGAGTCTGTCGCTCTACGATTGGAGTAAATTAACACCCGAAGAGGAAGGAAAACTTCTCACATACGAGGACTACTTTGAATTTGCGAGATCGAATGATCTTTCGACACTTTCCGAAGGAATTAAAGAGGCTTGTCAGTTGCATCTGTGCGAGATGATGTCTAGAGGATTTTTCCGGGTATGGACACTGGATCCTTTCATGAAACTCATAAAATACCGACTACCGATCATCTGCTGTGAACAGATCCTTAGCAAGTTGACGAACGAAGATTTATATCGTATTTGCTTGGCAGCTGCAGGCGAAAGCTCATAAATGGGGATGAGCGTTGAATTATTTTGTATAATCTGATATTATTAATTTTCTGTACCATTAAAATAACCAAATTATAAAAATGAATTTCGATTTTTCTATTGATAAGTACACCAAAATTTGAAATAAAAGAACTGAAAAATAATGAAATCGTTCAATCATTGAAGCTTACACCTTATATTAAAAACTACCATTATTAGAAACTGTATTTAAACTAATTTATTGAATATTTTAAAAAATTATGCCATACAATGCAATTAATAAAGTTCAAATAAATTGCATTTTTACCTTAAATCTATATTTTTGCCGATGTAAAAATTATCTCTCGTGCAATAATAATGTTGCAACGTATTTCTCCTCAGATAGAAAATCATATTTCCATTGCAACTATAATGAATGTCAGTTGAGGGAAAAGTTGATTGAATTCATTAAGAAAAATTGTTGAACTAATGTGCACCCCGCTCCCCCTCCTCACAAGCACGCAGTTACAAATGTAATAAGTTAAACGGCATATTTCTTTCGTTGTTTGCATTTGCAAGTTCTCGCGCAAATAATATCGATCATCTTGAGCTGACCCGTGGCCATTGATCATTTTTCGCCGAGTTAACATATTTTTCGCGGGTCAACGGGACTGATGGGCGTATATATATATATATTCGAAGCTCTCTCTCTCTCGAGCTCTTTTTTGATGAATGGCTAAACTTTTTAACAAAAGAGATGAAAAAAAATGGAAAGAAAGAAAAAATAAACCCGGTAGACTCGCACAGGCCGCGAGTAAATTCCACACGCGAGCAGAAATTTCATCCTCCTCCGCGTCGCGGGATGCGCCGCGGTTCTTTGATGAAAAAGAACGCGCGTCAAGGAGTGCGCGCGCGCCTGCGTATCTATAAAGACACGGCAATTTTAAACTTTACAAATGAGCTAATCTTCATTTAAGTATCTACTTTTAAAGCAATAACTTGATGTATACAAACTTGCTCGAGCGTTTAACTAATTGTTTCGAGTATGCAGTGGCAAGCAAGCAAGCAGCCGCGGCGGAGCTTATATATACCCTTTTCCTCCTCCTCATCCCCAGCAGCGCTCGAGAGTCGACGCGGCGCATAATGAGTTATCGCGGCTAAGGAAAGTTAAGGCACACTTCATCACGCAGCAGCAGCAGCAGCAACAGCTCGACGCGACTCAAAACTCCGCGTTTATGTTGTTGTTATTATATATTACACAGCGTAGCAGCGGAGCAATCGTATATACATGCAGCAACAGCAGCAGAAACGACAACAAACGTGGCATTAATGTAGCCGTTGATTCGCGCGCATATGCTATATTGTGTATATGCGGAGCTTGGCTAAAAGGACGATGATCGTTTTCCTATTGCTGTACAGTTTGTGTATATACGAGAGTTCGTCGTTTATTTCTCTCTCTCTCTCTCTCTTATACTTCGTTTCTTTCTTTATTTCTTTTTGTTTTAGTTTCAATTTGTGTGTGTTTTTTTCGGTCGTTTTGTCTCGCCTCTTCTCTCTTTATTTTTAATTTTTAGAAACAAAAGCAAAGCAGCTCTGGAGTACGCCCGCGCTCGCTTTATCTTTGTAAAGAACATAAAAGCGCCGTTTCACCGCGAGAGAGAGAGGTAGGATCTGTTTTTTATATATCTATATACATATACATCAAGTTCGTGGATGTGGATGTGCCCGAGCTGCCGACGACGAAAAGCTCCTTTAATTCCATTGTTTTTTTGACAATGTATAGGAAGGGAAGTAGCGACCGCAGCAGAAACATTTGAAGCCAGCCAGGCAGTGCACAGCGCTGCACTACTGGTCCGCGACTCTCGAGTTTTAAGAGTTGTGCTGCTGCGGTCAATGTTCGGCTTCGAAGAACAAAGACCTGGTTTACGATATAGATACATGTATATCGAGAAAGAAAGAAAGAAAGTAGGTAATGCAAGCATCGGTTTAATATCCGCGAGACAAGATCTCCGTGAGGCTGTATATAAGACGAGAGCCATCCGCGAGGACGAACACATCAATGAAGAAAGAAAGAAAAAGAATTAACCCAGTAGAGTCGAGCTTTCGTAGCACGAACTTCTCAATGATTTAACACGAGTAAGGTAAAGTTCACGCGTCAACGGGGTTGAAATATATACGAGGTGATGGTTTTTACTTGGTATATATATAATCCATGTATAATGTACAGGGCTGCTCGCGGGGATCGAGCTTTCGCGAGAGTTGCGTGCCTGATATATATATGGGTCTATAGCGAACGAACCCGTGCGCGGCTGAAAAGCCGCACTCGCGCGCGTCGGATTAACGAACGCATTGAAAGAGATTATAAGCGCGTCTAGTTCTCTCTCTCTCTTCTTTCATCCTATATATATATATACGTTTGCGGCTTTGGCTGCTCTGCGCTTTGTGCGTGGCCGTGTTATAAGGGATATAATATAAGAATCGCGAAACGAGGGAAGACGTTGCCCTCGCGCACTACCCGAGTCTCTTCTTATATACTTCTGCTTCTTCTTCGTTCTCGCACACAGACACGCGTATACGTACGAACTGCTTACTCTCTTTGCTGCTCGATATGCCAAGCACCACCACCACCATCAGCAGCAGCAGCAGCGACTCTGCCACTTCGCGCACGAGCCTTCGCCTCTCCTTATATTTAATCACCGCGCACACGCCGCTGTATATAAAGAGCGAGAGCGAGAGAGAGACGAAGCTCGGAGACTCGAGCTCGCGACGTATATAACGACTTTCTCTCGCATCCAATATCATATCGTTATCCTTGCACAGTCGATCCTCTCTTTCTATACAACGTCGCGAGGCATCGTATATCTTCTCTCTTACTGCGACGGCGGCTGCGGAGGCTATTGTTGTGCCAGCTAGCTACTTCGTGCAGCATAGGAGCTGCCGCGCGTCGTCCTCGTCCTCCTCGTCGTCGTCGTCGGAGTCGCGAGAAGAGAGAAGAGAAATGAACACTCTGTAATAAAAGACCTGCGCGAGCGCCATGCCACGAGCCAGCCATGAGCGTAGCCGTAGCGCGACACGAATTTTCAGACACGCTGATTTACTAATGTCATAAATCGTCATTTATACGCTTGCAAGCTCGCGCGCTTCGCTACTCTCGGCTCCTCGAGTATTTATATATATTTCGCCTCGAAAATTGACGCGATGTTTTCAATTTTCCTTCTCTCTTCTATACTCTTTTTATCGTCGTTGGCAATTGTAATCGAGATAACGAGTTTAACAAGGAAGTGGCATTATTACACAGTCGACGAAAGAAGATATATCGCAACGATTCGCTTGTATAGCAAAAAGGGAGTTTTTGTTCTTTTCAAACGCTTTATCGGATCGCGAGCAATTCATCAAAATATCGTATCGAATATTATAGTAGGCTTTTCCTCGGTTATGTATAAGACTCAAGGCTTCTCTTCTTGAAAAACGTGCTGCTGCTGCTGCTGCTGCTTGCCGATCGTAGCGGGAGGTAGGGAATTTAATTTGAATTTATTTGCACAGAAGAAGAGAGAGAGAAAGAGCGCGCAGCCAGGCGCAGTTTCATAAGACTGGAGAAAAGGACGGAAGCTCATCGGCGTCTTTGTCTACTTATACATACCTGTATATATATAAAGCGCGGAAAAAAGAAGCTGCCACAAAGTGAGATCGGGTTCGATAAAATCAATAGATGCGAAACGAGGCAGCAGCAGCAGTGGTGGCAGCGGCAGCGCAGCAGCTCTTCTCTCTCTTGGCCCCGGTAATTTCGTCCTTTTTCCTTTGTTCCTTGAGCTAGCTAGCTAGGTAGCTAGGTAGCAGCCGAGGCAGCGTCGGCGATAGCATATCTCTCTCTCTCTCTCTCTCTCCACGTGCCTGTACACTTTTGCGCTTTCTTTCTCTCTTTTTTTTGAGCTCGACGATATTGCGCTTTTATATTATATATGTGCGTGTCTATATATCTCAGCTTGTGTATACATGGCGCGCGAGCGTATAAGGTATACATATACGCAGAGACGACAGGACGCTCGAATATGCATATACAACGAACATCGCGCAGGGGTGGATCGAGAGAGAGAGAGAGAGAAGAAAAATAAAAGTTAACAGCAGCAGCGGCAGCAGCGGTACAGAGCGGGTAAAAAAGGGGGATGAAAAAAGACGCGAGAGATGCACGCAAGATTCCGGCTAAAACGTGTACAAGAAGAAGTAGAAGAAGTCGTAGCATAGAAGTATAGAAGAAGAAAGAAGAGAGGATGACGAAGACGGAGCAAAAGAGTATGACGACGACGACGACGACGACGACGGGTACACGAAGTCGCTGCGACGGAAGTGAAATTTAATAAAATTTCCCTCTACATCTAGAGCTGCGTAGAGCTGCTGCTGCCTTGGAGCTGCAGCATATATAGCTGCATACAGTATATATCCTAGCCTCGGACCTGTGTATGTATACGTCTGCACCGGGCTGCCTGTGTGTGTGTGTGTGTGTGTGTGTGTGTGTGTGTGCGTTGCTCTCTAAGCTCGCTCG